CCCCAAAACCCCAAAACCCCAAAACCCCAAAACCCCAAGTATAAATTCTTTGGCTGAATATTAGAAATTAGATTAAATGGAGTGATCAATTTGATTCGAAGGATACCTGTCTGAACAAAATGTGCCAAAAATTCTGACTATTTGAGGGCATACTTACTGTAATACTTGCTTGGGTCACTTACAAAAGTGAGACAAAGTACTTTGACCTTTGTGTCACCAAGAAATGTATGTAACATGTATTGATGAACTTCCTACTAATTATGCTCTTCTAGAGGCAATTAGGGCATTTGATAATCTAAAGACCCAGCTTGAGATATTTCAAAAATAGCAATCATAGCTTCAATGCTCCAGGGATCAAGACTAATGAACCTCTGCTAGACCAAGACCAAGGCAACCGACTAAAGTGGGCTGGAGACAAAGACCAGAGCATGGATGATACCTTTGACTTTTCTGAAAGACTGGACACTCCTGAGCAAGATCCAGAAGAACAGAAATTTATGGGAAATGTATGTTTTCCAAAAGATAAACAAGACCATATTTTGCCTCCATTAAGAGCTGAGGGAAAGAGAAAATCCAGGCTTGCAGAGATTTTGAAGTTACAAATGGTATCAAATCTTCCCTATTTATTGCAGAAATTAGATTGTTTGTCTCCAGGCCAATTAGCCCTGTTATGCCACTACATTAAAAAGGATCATAGTCATTATCAATTCGTTGTCTATTTCCTTAAAGTTTATCAAATAATTTTTGATTTAGAAGCTCAGAAAACAAGAAAGAATATGCAAATTCTGAGACTTTGAAAATGAAGAAGGATATGCCAGATGCTTTAGATGCCACAAGCCAAAGAGAAGGATACAGGGAAACTCTGCAAACAGCTCATCAAGCATTAGCCGGCCAAGAGTAGCCATTCCATTAATAAAAGGTTCATATCCTCCTGGAGAAGATATTATCAGACTTATCAATCATGACAATCGGATCTGGTACTGAAGGTAATTCGACAGAATTTAGAACTCTTCCTGACCATTTAGATCTTGAAACGTTGTTAATAAGTTCAAGAAAATTTGAATTCTGTGCAAGGTTTCTAAGGAAGACAAGGATTACAAGTTTCCTCATTGCCCCAATTGCAAGAAAAGTAAGAACATTGTTATAAAGATGAACTTTATATTCATATTTCAGAACTAGTAGTTTTTAACAAATTACTTCTCATCATTAAATTTCAAAGTATCGAACTAATAATCTAACACTAGCTATAGGTGTATCGAGATCAGCTTATACATGTGAGAGCTGTCACTCCAGTATTAATCAGACATCAATACGCAGAATTTTGTTCTAGTTTAAATGCTTAAATCTTCTAAATAAGAGAAGTTCAGCACGTCTAGCTACCAATTAAAATTCAACCATATTTATAACTCCTGGGGTTTTGGGGTTTTGGGGTTTTGGGG